GTGTCTGTTGCTTACCTTTCGACCCTCGCTTTATTCACAATCATCTCATTTTTGAGGAATACCCGCTTCACAAGGCAGCATTTAGAATTTGTCGGATAATTGAGAGACCATGAGACCCACACACGGTCCTCTGGTGTGTGGCCTCACACACCACACACCACACACTCCCAGACATTCCCAGATCAGACAGATGATCTCACAAAACCTGTCGAGATCAAACGTGACATCAGAGTACAAAAACACGGTGGAGTAGGAGCGTGTTATGTGCTTTCGTCATGTTACTTTCGTACTGGTTACAAGTCACATTCAACACATTGAATATCCTCTATTAATGATCGGAGTGATCCCGACATTCTTACAAGCAGACCGGAGCGCTCTTAAAGGTCGACTTCACTGTAAAACCATTTTTATGATTGTTTCTGATTCTAACGGGTCACTCTGAGTGTTTCATGCAGGCTGAACATGAAAATAGTCTCCTACACCGATCTCCTGCAGTAGCTTCTGATGGAAAACAGACGGTGAAACTCTAGGATTAGAAAATCCTGACAGATCTACGTCACACTGTCACTAACATTCACGGACTCACCCATCCTGACTCACGACGGGGAAGGCTGTTGTTGGTTTAGCATCCAGGAAACAGCAGAGAACGTCTCAGCTAGTAGAAGCTAACTGTTAGCATTAGCAACTCCACCACATGGCAGAACTCCTCCAGGCTTTTGTTATTTGTGGAGATAAAACATCAACGTTGCAGAGCCAGTGGTAGAGTCGTGTTGCTGTTAGCCAATCAGAGGAGAGATCAGGAAATAAGACTCCAGATCCTGTCTTCTGAAGCTACTTTCTCCTACGGCTGAAGTCTCCAATCTGAAACAGACGCACAGGAGCATTCATTCCTACTAGAGACACTTTATTTGTAAAGCACCTTACAACGGTGTAGAAGTGCTTCACAGACGTTAAAAACAACACACAACATAAAAATGCATAAGAACTAACGCTGATAAATCACTAAAAACACGGCAGATGTGTTGAAAATATGAGTAAAGATTACTCTTAACACACCACACACGGCAGGATAAGATTGCCTTTAGAGCCTGTGATTGGGTCAGGAATCATCGGAGCGATTATCCCGCCCGAACTGAGACAGTTCCAGAGACACAGGACGACTTTGTCTCCCAAGTTTTCTGATCGTGTTCTAAATACCAGCAACTCAACGTTCCTGAAACAAACTCGAGGAAATGGAGAACCCTGAAGAACGTTTGGAGAAATTTTAGAAACAGATGCTTCTGTTTAGTTTTCATTCTTCTTTAGTAACATTTAACAAATTTGACACTGGATCTAAAAACGTTCCACGTGAAAGCTCTGTTACTGGTTTAACGGTGGTGAGTTCGCGGACCTGGAACTACGATCCCATCACCACTCCAGTCCAGTGTTTCCTCCCAGTAAGATGCTGGTTAGAGACACACCAGTTTCCTCCTGGAGGACCGCAGTCGGCTCCTCCAGAAGAAGTTCCTATGAATCTTAGCGATGTCGGTCCTGAAGGTTCTGATCCGTTTGCTGATCTGAACTCTTCATGTTGTTTCTACAGGTTCAGCTTCCAGACTCCGTGTTCATCGATTCAACGGAAACCAGCTACGTAGAGAAGTAGGTTCTTTGTTGTTTGTTTGTTTGTTTTTTGTTGTTTGTTTCATAACATAAAAGTATTTTCCCTGCTGAAAATTATCTTACAACGTTTTACAATAAAATACAAAAGATGCCGTAATTAAATGAAAACGATGGATTAATGTGACTTTTGTAGGAAAGATGAGTAAAAGGGTCTCGTAGCTTTGCCTTAACTGGATTCAACAGATAAGTGTTTGAGTCTCAGCTGCACAAACTCTACAGATGTGTTGTGTTCAATCAATCAATCAATCAATACTTTATTAATCCCAGGGGGAAATTAGAGTTTCAGTACACACAATTCAGAGATCAGACACACACGGGCAAGACACATGACAAGAATTGGTGACTGTGGTCATTCGCAACCCTGAGTCGCGCTACCTTAATAGAGATAAGAAGGTAACATGAGGATTGGTTCAGGTGGAGGGAAAAAAGAGGCATTTCAGAGCTACCCTCCCACCAGGAGGGCAGCTTTGCTCTGCAAAAAACACCTCAACAGATATGCAACAGACTTCAGACAACACAACATGATATGAGACTCCAATAGGAAGGCGGGGGGGGGGGGGGGGGGGGCTGGGATCCTGTTTCCCCCAGCGAGAGCAGCCATCTATGGCGCTCATCTACTGTACAGTCACAGATGGGAGGGAGATCTTGGGAGAAGCGAAGAGCACATTGACTCCTACAGATTGATGACCTCGCCAGGCTGAAGTCCACCAGTCCAAAGTTGTGTGTGTGTGTGTGTGTGTGGGGGGGGGGGGGGGGGGGGGGTTCACAGCATCTGTCTGCATTCCTTCGTGGGGGTTTTATTTGCTTGCAGCTCAAGGCTACCAGGGCGTCAGATTCAGATAACAAGACTTTGTTTGGGTCAGGCTGAGATAATTTTCCTCACTGCTTTCAGTCTTTAAACTGATCATTTCCAGTCCTTCAGTGAAGCCAATTTGGGTTTTAAACTTGTCCATACCGTCCGGTGACTCTCTCCGAGATGACACCCATTTTGCGCACTAACACCGGTATCGCAGCTAGAACATTGTCCAGCTAACGATTCACCTCGAGTAACGTCCCAGTCTGAGAAGTCTCCACACGGACGGGGCTTTCCGTGGGTGCGGGTCGCCCTCCAATCTCTCCCGTCTTCCCAAATTTCCAGAAAACCAGATATCCTCCCACTCCAATCAGGAGAAATCCAGTGATCATCAGAACAAATATCCACACGTCTTCGACATCCTCAGTGGACAGCTGGGAGAGGCATATGATCTTCCATTCTTTCCAGGAATCCAGCATATACCCCACCGGGTGTGTCCCCTGTGGGCATGTGGGAGCCCCCTGCTCTGTTCTCATTGTTGAAAAAATCTTATCGATCACATTGAATGACCAGTTTATCAAATCTATGGTTAGTAAAAATAAAGTTTTTCTGAAGAAATGCAGAGAAGAGTTCTGTGGGCAGACAGGACTAAGAGCCTTGGGAAAAGAAGATAAGGGAGCAAAAGAGAGAAGCATCTGTACTCCGCGAGTGCCAACAGAAGAAAAATTTAAATAAAAAAATAGAGTCTAAATGAGTCCCAGCGTCTGTAAGGGTTTGTTTTCTCTTTTATTGTGTAATTATCTGAAGAGAAACAGCTGGTTAGTAAATAACTAACGCTAGTTTTAGTCTAAATCTTTAACACAACCATGTTTTTACATTCTCAACATAAAAACGTGACAAAGTTTCCATCTGCGTCAACGACGTGGGTCAGAAACAAAACTCCTGCAGCAGAATAATAGCTTCTGTTGTTGTTTTCAGACCTGAGAGGAAACAAACAAACTTCAGTAACAGACTGTGTCGGCCAACAAGTCCAGGAACTATATTGTTCAATTTTTTAAGAATCATATGATTATTTCATTTGTATTAATGTTATTTTAGTTAAAAGGGGCAGACAACATAAGTTTTTCTTCTTTCTGTCCCCTTTTTCATTTTGGCTTGCAGCAAGTTAGTTCTGTATTTTTATTTTAATGTCAATAAATGAAAATAAAAGATAAAAAAAATTAAATTAAATAACAAACAATAACACCTGGAGTGATTCTGCCCCCTAGTGGCAGGAGTCGGTCTCACAGCCTTTATTCAATCTAAACTTTGAACTCAGACCAGTAGAACATGGAGAACAGCTTTATGATGATCTATCACAGTTTTTTATTATTAGCAACTTAAATCTGCATTTGTGTCTGCAGACTTTTCAGAGAGAGTGCCGCGTCTCCTCAGAACGGACTCTACGGCATCAGAAACTCAGGAACCAAAACGGCTAAGGTACCAAACAGAAGCTGCTAGTCAGTGACTTTGATTTTATTTGATTTTATTGTGAAATAAAAAAGCTACACTAGACTAGAAGTGTGGTACTACGGCCCGGCGGCTGAAAAACAGCTAAATAAGTCAACAGTAGAGATCAGGAGCTGAGTTCAGCTCCTCGGGACGTCCCTGGAGTTAACTTCTGGGGGAAAAAAACATTTATTTAACAAATCAAACTCAGTTTTTAGCCTAAAGTCTGCTGATTTTTATTACTAGAATTTTTAGACACCAGAACTACTGAATAAAGTTTGAAAGGGGCCCATAGCTAAGGGGCCTAAATGGAAATGTTGTTTCTACCTGCTGTATTCTCCAGGTTCTGGTCGTGTGGGACGCCGGTATAAACAAGGCCAGAAACTACAGGCTGTTTGAGGAGGTAACACAAACCTCCGCCCCCTCAGCCGGATCCGTCCACGCTGGATGTGTCCGTGTTCACGTCTCCTGTTCTCTGATTCCAGAACGACAGCATCTTCCTGGAAAACAACCTGGCCTTCCCCAACCTGTCGGCTCTGATCGAACACTACTACCTCCATCCTCTTCCTCACCACGACTCGCTGTGTCTGCAGCAGCCCTACACAAAGGTCCTGAGCAGCTGAGCAAACGGCTCCAGCAGAACCAGAGGGAAACAGCAGGAACATTCACTGGAAAATGGAACAAGCTACCGTTTTGGTCTGAAATCCTCATATTTAAAGCAAAATAAATTCCCTTTTTTCCTTAGTGGTGATCAAAATCTAATGAAGCATCATGAGAAATCACCATCATGCTCTGATTTGGGGTCAGTTTTGCTGCTGTCAGATAAAAATATGCAAAAAATCATCAAAGTGATTCAAGGGGGCTGATTATGGTGGTTGTGATGCGTTCTGGCCACCAGGGGGCGCCACATCTTCAGATATTTGGGTATAAAGCAAACTAATATTTATTTTTATTGTTATTAAGATCATTTTAAAGACATTTTATAAAACAGGATGTGTTGGTTTTCCTTCACTGAATAAACAGAATTCATTTTTCCTCAACGGATCGGCATTCTGAAAAAAACAAACTTCTTCCTAACAGATTTAAAGGTTCTGCAGGAACAAACTCGTCCATCAGGCATTTGACTTCGCTTCTTTAAAACCCAAACCAGCAGCTCGACAGGACCTCTCTCAGCCTGAAAGTTTTATTTCTACATAAAAACATGCAAACGGTTATTTTTGACGTCTGCAGCTCCGAGTCGTATCCGGTAAAATGCTCTGCTTTATTTATCTGTACATTTGTACAAATGTAAAAAATGTTGTTTTTTTATATGAATCTATGTTTAAAATGTATAAAGAATAACATAAAACCTCCTGTTGTGTGTTTTATTGTTGCCAGTTATTATACTTAAATAACTGAACCAAACCTGGTGAAGAATTAAACAGGGTTTTCTTTTTTTTTTTTTTTTTGAAACTTTTTATTTATCAACTTTTACTTTAGAAACACATTCCCCTCCGTACTCAGCATTCATCATATTATTAACATTGAGTTCTGTTCATTTCCCCTCATTCGTTTTCTAGAAGTCTTTCTTTGTTTGTGCTCTTCCGCCGTTATTCTGTCCATTCTTTGTCTTCTTGTCTTCTCATTCCCTTCCGTGTGCGTTGTTATTCCTTCCCCAATTATCCCGTTTTTCTATTTCTATCTTCTTGGCGTGTTTTCCCTTTCTAGTCATTCATTTTTCTACTCCTTCTTTTGAGTACTTACAATGCATACAAGACGAAAAGAAAAAGAAGAAAGAAAAACAAAATAAATAAAAAAGGGAAAAAAATTATATTAATAAAAAAAAAATACATAAAATAAAAACCCATAAATAAATAAATCAAAAGGTCTGCTCATCTGCAGATTTCTTTCTCTCCAGTTATATATTTCTGTATACTCTGTATGTCTCCATTTAGCCCATCGTTTATGCATTTGTTTCCCTTTCAGTCTTAGGCCTAGTTCACACGTAGCCGGGTTTTTTGAAAACGAATATCCGCCCCTCCAAAAACTTGCATCCACACCACCTCGTTTTAAAAACAAACTCTGTCCACACGTACCCGGATAAATACGTTGTTAAGGACATGCCAGACCTGTAGGTGGCAGTACTTCCCCCGTTCTTAACCTCGTCCTTCGTCTGTGGTCTTCCGCAAGGAGCAGTAATTCCGCTTGCAAAAACAAACAAGCAAAAAGCGCTTGGACGATTGATAAAGCGAGCGCAGCTCTGAGGGCATCCATGCTGTCGGCTAGTGTAAACACAGGTCGCACACGTGATGTCAGCATTTTTTTGTCGCGGAAAGTGACGTTGCGGACCTTAAAACTCCGGTTTTGTCTGTCCACACGCAGACACCCAAAACGGAGAAAACGCAGATCTTCACTTTGGCCGGAGTTTTTAAAAAGATCCGTTTTCGTGTGAAAAAACTCCGTTTTCGTGTGGATGACAGGCCAAAACGTAGAAAAATATCTACGTTTTGGCAGATCCCCGGCTACGAGTGGACAGGGCCTTAGTCTGAATGTCAGCCTCTCCATTTCCTGTGTTTCTCCAACTATTGTCTTCCATTCTTCTATTGTTGGGGTCTCTGGTCTGGACCATTTTCTAGTGATGGCTTTCTTGGCTGCTATCATGAGTATCCTCATCAGATATTGGTCTCCCCCTGCTATTTCTTCCCGTATGGATCCTAGGTACATTAATTTAAATGTCTGTGGAAAATAATATCCTAATATTATTTTGGTGTTCTCATATATTTGATTCCAAAATGGTTTTATGTTCTTGCATTCCCAGAATATGTGGGCGTGATTGGAGTCTATATTTCCACAATTCCTCCAACATCTCGTTTGTTTTTGTATTTGTTTACTTATGATTTTCGGTGTGATGAAGTATCGTATTTGGTTCTGCCAGGCAAATTCCCTCCATTTTTGTGATTGTGTTGTCCTATTTTGTGTTTTCCACATCTCCTCCCATTCCCCGTCCAGTATTTCTTCCCTAATTTCTTTTGCCCATTTTTCTTTGATATACTGTGTTGAGTGGTTTTCTATCGTCATTAATGTTTTATATATTATGGATAATTTCCGTTTAGGTGCTGGATTTGTATATGTTTGGATCATCATTGTTATTAATGATAGGCGTGTTACACGGCGAGTCTGGACATGGAATTAAAACACCTCCCTCCAGTAGGTCTTTTATTACTGGTTTTATTCCTGCCTGAGCGTCTGGTTTAAGAGGATATTGACGCACACAGGGACCATAATCAGATTTAGGTTTTATCTGTACTGGGACTGCTGATTTAATTAATCCCACATCTGATGTCCCTGTTGACCACAGTTCTTCAGGAACGTCTGTTAGCAGGTCTTCCTCCTCCTGTGTCAGCATCAGATGTCATTCTATGGTTTCATCATTCTGTAGGTGTGTGCCAGCTTTCATTGTGACTGTCCAGTACAATACTTTTCTGATCAGACCTGTTGACACACTGGTATGTAACCCTGGAGCTTTCTTAACCCAGTCTCGTGCATTCTCACCCTGAGAGATTCTCCATCCGGAGTTCTTCCACTTGTCACGTGAGCTCTTATAGAGAGACACATGGGGTGTGTGTAGCCCTTTGTACAGGGCCTGAGTGTCCTTGGGCAGTTTAGTTGCTGCTGCTGCAAAGGAGTCAGAGTCTGTGTACAGATAAGTTGTTGTTAACCTGCAAGGAGATGCGCGCTGGAGCAGTTTTTCATACTTTAAGTCTGGCCCTCGGGCATGTCGATACCACATTGTGGCATGAAGCTCATCAGATTTCATACAATCTTGAGGGTTAGACAGGAATGTTGCTCCTTCAGCCAGAAGCGCCTGTCCTGTTTCAAGTGGGGGTGTGTCTGGCAGATCCAATGAGTAACGATAGTATGGACTGTTTTCACCCCTGAGAACAAAGAGGTCTTGTTTCCCATCTGCCTGTCTTCTCATTTCCATATCTCCTGTGAAGGAGGATGGAACCAAGGCCAGTGCAAGCAAGCAAAGACCGTCTCTGCCTAGAAGATTTACTGGGCAGTTTGGGATCATTAACAAGGACATTTGGCAGCTTTTTCCCAGAGGATCGCATACAGTCACTAGATTGGTCACTGATACTTTGTTCATTTGTCCACCTGCGTTCCTGACCAGAGTTTCATCACCACTAAGGGTACTATGTGGTATCTGCTCCCGACAGGTCGTCCGGCAAGCCCCAGAATCGCACAGAAACGTCATTTCTTTTCCATTTATTAACAGTTGAATCTCAGGTTTTCTGTCTCGTAGCAGAAACAGTTCCTGTAAATTTAGCATCACTTCCTCATCTGTTGATTTTTCTGCTTCTAATTTGTGTTTCTGCGCCACTGGACCGTCTAGTCATGCAGAATAAGACGTGTGGGTAGACCGTTGGGTCCTCTTAGGGCAATTTCGAACCAAATGACCCTCTTCATCACAGTTCCTGCAGCCAGAAGTGTATTTTAGTTGATGGCCCCCCCGGGCACTGTCTCCTACCCTCGAAATCTACCTCCGCCCCTGTGTTTATTTTGACAATCATGGGGCAGAGGTGTGCATTGGTTGTAAGCTTGAGGAGGAGGAGTCTGTGGATCCAGCACAGATTCTGCAGAACTCAGGTCTGGGTAAAGTCTGGGTCCATCTGCAGCCGCTGCAGCTCTTGCATGAGTCATTAATTCATTAACAGAGCAGATTTCCAAAGCCAGCACGTGATTTTTGATCCACCTTGTAATTTGTGGCCGAAAGCCTGTTAACAGGCCGATTTTTAATAGCTGCTCATACATACCGCTAAAATCGGGCTCCGGTCCCAGTGTTTGCAGAGCAGGTGCTGGAAATCCACTATGAACTTTGAACTCCTTCTCATAGCGTGTTCTAAAATCATCTACGGTTTCACCTGGTCTTTGTCTTATCTCACCCAAATGAGCACGTTTTTGAATTTTTAGTCCCACCGCAGCATTTTCTGTGTCTGGATCATTGTCCTCGTCACGTGTCTGTCTGCGAGGAGCTGGTCCTGTCTCATCATCCTCCTTTCTGTGAAACATTAATTTTTCCTCCTTCTCCTCTTGCTCTTTTTTCCGTTGTTCTTCCTGTAGTTTGATTTCTCTCCTTTTTTGTCCCTCTTTTCTACTTTTGCTCACTTTTTCCCACCACTCTAGATCTGAATAGCCTCGTTTTTCCATTTTACGTTTATCATGTTTGCACTTTTCTGCAATCTGTTCTTTTAATTTTAAACATTTGTTTGAGCCGAGTCTGCCTTCAAAACCGTATTTTCTGACCCACTTCTCCAAATGCTGTAATTTGGTTGGATCTTTAAGTTTAACAAACTTCCAATCTTGGCATTTCAGGTTCTCGAATTTACTAGAACCTTTCCCCATTTTTTGTTACTTTTTCTTAATTTTCTTGCTATTTTTACTGTTATTGATTTAGTTTCTTTCAAATTACAGATTTATTAGGTTAACGTCACTTTAGTTTTATGCCAGAAAATAATTTTGCCACATGCGAGAATTTGTTGCGTTTGCTTCAAAAGGATTTATGTTTTTAAATCAAATAGTCGGAGTTATATCTGTTAGTTTAGATACTCTTGTACCATCCGGATGATCATAACTCCTGCTGTAAGAAGATCAGACTGGTAAAACCTATGCTGCCATATTAAGACTTCTGCTGGGTTTAAATCTGGGTTCAAAATCTCAGAGTTCTCTCAATAATATCTCGTGTGTACCACCAGGATTTTCACAGTTAGTTAATCTTATTTTAGTGGCACGTCCGTCGCGTTCCTGATCATTAAGGAATATATATATATATATATATATATATATATATATATATATATATATATATATATATATATATATATATATGTCGTTACTTTTACCAGCTGGATTTATGCCTGTTTCTTTTCGACCTATTTTCTTTTGATTTGCCTTTTTATTCTGACATGTAACCTGCGTAGTCGAGACTTATGATAATTATTGAGATTACAACTACCATACAGATTCCTACTATTAAAATGTTGGTGTTTTGTTCAGAAAGCATTTTCTGGATTTACGCCTGTTTTATTTATTTTTTATATTATACTTTCAAATATCCTGCGTATTTTAGGCTGATGAGGATTATTGTAATTATAGTCGCTAGAAGGGCTCCTACTATGAAAAATTTAGTAATTTTCTCTATAAGCATTTTAAAGTTTTGGACCAGTGTGGGGTTAACCCATAGGGGGTTCTAACACTGGTTTTCAGTGAGATTGAGCCAAGTTCCGTTGTGGTAATTCTCCCTTCTACCGCATTTCAGGTGGAGAACTCTTACCTGTGCATCCACAAGGGTTGCTCAAAT